AGGAATACCAAATGGTTTGATACGCAAGGGATTAGTAGGCCTTTAATAAAGAGTACTCGTTGCCAAACCTGCCAACCTTTGCCTTTCTTGATCCCTCCATTCATTTTCTTCCCCAGGCATTGCCTTACTTCCCAGGTCTCCCCTGGCATGGCTCAAAAACAATAGTTATGTCAGGTCCTTGAAACTCTCTCCATTGGCCTCCAGGCCATGAGTTTTTCCCCTATAACTCTGATCATTCTTTCTTAATTTTTTCTGTGGCTGCCCAGCCACCTGCACATGGTGTCCCTTGGTGTTCTGAGAGTGCTCCTCTGCTCAAGTTATCTCTAGACTGAAGACCCTCAAATCTCTATCTCTTTTGCTCTGTGTCCTACTGCCTACTAGACAGTTCCATTTGGATGTTACTCAAGCATCTCAAAGCCAACAAAACTGAATTCATTATCCCTCCCTGCCCCTCAACCCATAGTTGGTCCTGAATTATCTACCTTAGAGAGCTGCCCAATCCAGAAATGAGGGGCCATCCCTCATTCTTCATTCCCTTTCTGCTGTACTTTGTGCTCCATGCCCAGAAGCCAACTGGTCATGAAGTCCAGCAGATTTCCTCCTCCTCAGTAACTCTCAACTTCATTACCTGCCTTCCCTCCCCAGGGCTACTGACAGTTGTCATCTCTTTCTTGGACTATTGCAATAATACAGTAGCTCCCTGGCTCTTCTTACCCCCTTTTCATTAGCCTCATTGGGAGTCATAGTCATCTTCCTAAAGTGCTTTACTTATTTGTTTATTTATTTATTTTTATGGAGACAGAGTCTCATTTGGTCACCCTTGGTAGAGTGTGACAGCAACCCCTCACAGCAACCTCAAACTCTTGGGCTTAAGCGATTCTCTTGCCTCAGCCTCCCTAGTAGCTGGGACTATAGGTGCCCCCTACAATGCCCAGCTATATATATTTTTTAAGCAGGCCCAGGCTGGGTTTGAACCCACCAGCCCCTGAGCATGTGGCCAGCACCCTAACCACTGAGCTACGGATGTCCCCCTAAAGTGCTTTTTAAACTCTCCATGTCATTCCCCAGTTTAAGAGCCTTTAGTACTCTCACTGCCCTCAGAACAGCCCACCCCTCTTCATATGGCTTACCATGTCTACTCTGTTCTTCTGGTCATTGTCTACCTGCCAGCGCCCATCTTTCTTGGAACATTTTTTTCTTTCTTTCTTTTTTTTTTTGCAATTTTTGGTCGAGGCCGGGTTTGAACCCACCACCTCTGGTATATGGGACTGGTGCCCTACTCCTTTGAGGCACAGGCACCACCCAAGGAACATTGTCTTTCATCCTAGGTGTCAGCTTTGCTGATGAACTTGCAGTTCCTGGTTGAACAATGCTGTTCCAAGATTTTCTCCTTCTTGGTTCCTAGCCAACTCAATCATCTTTCCTGATGATCATTCATTTACACATTATGTTGTAAACTCCTTAAGGTCAGGATCCAAGTTATAGTCTTCCTTGTATTCCCAGAACCTATGTCACATAACTGGCATAGGGCAGGATCTCAGGAGATATCTGCTGAGTGAATAGGTGAATGGATAGATGGATGAACAGATGATGGATGGAGAAATTGGCAGATGGATGAATGGATGGATGGATGGACAAGTGAGAAATCTCTGGCCCAGACTGGATTGCTAATGTCTCCGGCATAATGTCTCTGTTGCAGAGCTAAACCAGCCACATTTCCTTATTCTTCCCTCAGTCTCACACTAGGAATACCCTGACCTAGGATCCATGGGAAAAAGAAAGACTTTGTAGCAGGAAAAGTGAGAAAGAAGATGTGACATCAGAATGCTGATGAGGGAGGAAGAGAAAGAGAAGATGCCAAAGAAGACAGCAGAGGAAGCTGAAGGGCAGGAGACTCCTACCTGCTTGTAACACACTTGAGTAGCCATTAAGTACCAAGCTAGAGGCATTGGAGAGTAGAATGTACAGAAAGGACATGAAGATACTAAAATGTTTGGACATTTTTCAGAGTGTAGAGAAGCAACCATGCTCTTAAATGTGCCAAGCGTCCTTCCAGAACCCCCAGTGGAGAATCTCTGGGTGATAAGCTCTGATTTGTCTCTGTAAATGCAAGTGCTACTGGCTGGGCACAGCCAGTCTATGCACCATTGTACAACTGAGGTCAGCCGGAATGAGGAGCTCTGCCCTAAGCATGTCCCAAATATTGATGGTGTTTACTGGCCTTTCGGTTATTTCAACATCAGGCTTGTGCCTATTTACCTGGTGGATAACCCCAGGATTGCTTTAGACTTTAATCCATCCCAAAGTCCTTCCTTACCCCTGGAGTCTTTTTTTTTTTTTTTTGAGACAGAGCCTCAAGCTGTTGCCCTTGGTAGAGTGCTGTGGCATCACAGCTCACAGTAACCTCCAACTCCTGGTCTCAAGCAAGTCTCCCGTCTCAGTCTCCCAAGTAGCTGGGACCACAGGCACCTGCCACAACCCCTGGCTATTTTTTGTTTATAGCTGTCCTTGTTATTTGGTGGGCCCAGGCTAGATTCGAACCCACCACCTTAGGTGTATGTGGCTGGTGCCTTAGCCACTTGAGCCACAGGTGCCAAGCCACCCCTGGAGTCTTCTTTATCTACGAATGGGCTAAGACCAAGCTCAAGTGGTTGGTGGTACACAGGGGGGCAGCATAACCAAAAGGTATGAGGTTCTAGAAAAACTACAGACAGGGAGGTCCTACAATGGTAAAGTTGGCTTCCTTTATCTGCAGCTCTGTCTAGACAACTCCTAAGACACGTGTACTGACAGTCTTTGGGTAGACAAGCAAGGTGACCATATGACCTTGTTTGCCCAAGATAGTCCTGCTGCCTTAGTATAGTTATGAATGCTGTCCCAGTAGTACTTACTATCATCAGAAGCATTCCACAATGGATATACAGCCACTCTGTTTACAAGGTGCTTTAAGATCCCCTGGGAGAAATCTAAGTGTCATTGCAGTTACTGCTCCTGTTCCTGGACCTGCTCTGAGGACATTTCACAGCACAGGTTGGCACGTCTTCACGAGGAAATCTGCCAACAATCCCACAACTCCAGAGAAGACAAACCAAGACCAAAGAAGGAAATGTAGGAGTTTGTCCTTTTGTAAGATTTTGGGCAAAACTCCAAGAACTCAGCACTCCAGGAGAGACTCAGAGCTAAGGAGTCTTAGGGGAAACTTTCATGTGATCACTGTTTTGGGGCAGTAAGCCCATTGTCTCTGATGTTGATTATAGTTCAATAATTTGTTATAGCTGCTTATCTATTGCTTGCTCAGTGCAGGAATGCCCAGGAGTTCTTTTGGTTTGTCCTCCTATTTCTTGGTTTGGTCAGATGAAGATGGCCCAATCTGTAAGAAACTCTGGTTGGGTGCTTATAGATCTTTCAGTCTCGGGGGGCCTTGTTTATATGATGGACCTGGAAAAAGGAAATGTGTTTCTTATGGTAGAAAGCAAGAAAGACTTACATACATAAATACTGCATCTTCTGGATCATAAGATGCTTTACTTTATTCCTGGAAGAAAACTGGGGCTTTAAATGAAGCCATGACACCTGTCCAGGAGGGAATATGGGGCCCTGTGTCTATAGGTGACTTGGGGTGAGGGGATGACCAGCTGCCCAGCCGCCTTCCAGGACCTCACCCCCAATTAACTGCTATAGGCAGAAGGAGGTTGCATTACTTCCTTCTGAACTCTTAGATGGCCAGAAAGCAATAGAAAGTTACACACAGACACACCCGCGCAATATACACAATAACACCAAAGTTTATACCAAAGATCTGAGTGTGGTTCATTTCCCACCAAAGTTTGTACTAGGTGAAAATAACATAATTCAACCCTTGAGAATAAAACAGAATACTAGCCCTGGTTTCCTTTGCTGGTAAAAAGAACGTGAACAAGTTACAGAAGACTGCAAAATAGAAGCTAGTGCTTTGTTTCCCCGAGGCTCTCACTCCTTTGCTTCTCCTGTTCCTGGGAACATCAGTCTGTCTTGCAGATATCTGCTTCAGGTAGCTCCAAATCCAAAGTCACAAGTCCCAGGCAAGAGGCAATACTCCTTGCCTGGAGCAGAGCAGGACTGAAGTGTGGGGAAGAGGAAGAGAAAATGGTATCTTCCCTAAAAGCCTCTCTCTCTTCCTCTACCTGGGCGCTCCCTGGGGGTTGGGGGTGCTCCTTCTCTGTCTAGGGCATTGGTTTTGTGGGCTGTTTCCCTTCCGGAAAAAAGGGTCAGGAGCTACGTCATCCCAGGCAGCAGCTCTGCGGGGTGTGAGCTTCTCTGCCTGCACCAGGCACTCAGGAAGGGCCAGGAGCTGGGGTGGGGGATGGGTGCCCTGAGTATGGGTAACTGCCTGGGGCAGCTTGTAGGGTCATGAGCCTGTGTCAGGTTGGAGGCCCCCTTTTCAGAATTGCTGCTTCTGGGGAGGGGGTGAGGTATTCTTTAAGTGGCAGGGAAGATTGGGGAAAACTAAGAGGACAAGAGCTGTTGGAGGAGGGAGTTAGGTTTATTTTATTGTCTTTATCATAGGATGGGCCCTGGTGAAGATCTGCTGGTTCTATCGATCTCCTTTTATCCCCTACTCGCAAATCCCTGTGGACTGTATCCCTTTCACAGGTAAACCCGAAGCCCAGAGGGGCCAAATGTCTAGGCCAGAGGTCCAGCTAGTGCATAGGCAGGAGACTTGTCCTGCAAAGGCCTGTCTTACTCTGGCGCCCAAAATCTATCCCTTACACCGCCAGCAGGACGTGCAAATTCGAGACCCCTCCCTCCTTTCCCTAGAGCCACAGATTTATCGCGGGTCATATCTCCTGGCCCGCAGGAAAACTCCGAAAGTTCCGTCGCATGTGCAAGTCCCTTTCGTAGTGGCGGCGACAGAGCACACAGTAGGACCGCAGCTCAGGAGCCGGGCATGCCCGGAGTAGGTGCCTCCCACCCCCGCCACGGCGGGCCGGGCTGTCCCGGGTCGGGGAGGGGGCCAGCCCCACGCCATGACATCAGCCCTGGTGTGGTGCGGTGTGCAAAGCCCACTGGTTGGAGTGGCTCGGGACACGCCTTCCCCCGAGCGGAACAAAACGGCGCAAGGGCCGGGCGCGCCCAGCCGCCACTTCCGAGAGCACTGCAGCCCGCGCCGCCCAGCCCGCTGCCAGGTGAGTGCACCCGGGCCGAGCGTCGCACGGCTCTGTCCCCCGCGGCTGCCCGCGGCAGGGGCGCCTGGGCATCCAGTCGGCGCCCCTTGGTCTTTCCCGCCCCGCCATACCCCTAGCAGCTGCGAGGAAAGTTGGAGGGAAAGTGGCGCGCCCCTGGGGGCCGTAGCCGGCAAGGAATCGTGAGAAGCGGTCGCAGTTAGCCTGGGCGGTGCTTCTCTTTCTAGTAGGCTCTGGGTCGCCCCCCCCCACTCCCCCTTCCCGGGACTTCCAGGACACAATTGGTTTCCGCGTGCCTCTGACCCAGGGTGACTCGGCTACCCGCCACCGCCTGCAGGTCAGGCAGAACAATTGGCGATTCTGCACGCCACTGACGCTCATTGTATGACAGAGATGAGGGCATCCGTGCCACCCCCTCCATCACCCTGCGCTCTAGGAGAAAACGCCTGCGGGTGGGGAGGTGAAACATCTGGCTTCACGGGTCTGACCTGGAGCTTCTGTGTCCCTGGGTGCTGGTGTGACTTTTCCTTATTCTGAAAAAACTTGATGGACCCTTCTCTCCTCCAAGTCTTGGCGCTAGATTTCTCCCTTGCTGAAACCTGAAAAATCCTACAGAGAATGTTTTGTGGCTTCAATCCTTGAAAGTTGGGGAACAGGAAAGGGACTGGTCTTGAGCACAGTTAAAAGCAAGTTTCCGGCCGTTACCCACCCATCAACCCTCTGAGGCAGGTGTTTGATCTACTTTGCTGAGAACATTCTGCCTGCTCTCGGTCCTGGTGCTTTTGTAATCTAATTGAGATTTGCGTCTAGGCTGGGAGCATTAGCGTGGGCTCAGGCCCTTCTAGAGCCTTGGGCTCCATCCAGCCACCCACCCCCCTGCTTCCTTGGGGTGAATGAATGGGCAGACCCCGGACACACACTTAGGGTCCCGCCTTGGGATACTGTTGCAGTGGCACTCTGGTAGAAAGTATGTTATGAAGAGGGCCTAGAATTTTGGTGAGAGATAGTTTGGAAAGCAGAATTGTAGTCATGGTTTTACCACTAAATATTAATAACACACAGATTTCTTTGAACAAGTGACTTAACGTCTCAATTTCTTTTAGCGGTGGTGGTTGGGGAATGTATTATGCGAGGCAGTAGCACTCTGTTACTGGCTTCTTCCTTATCCTCTCCCCATCTGTACTCTTCTTCCCAGAACATGGGGAGGCTGGAGGTGCCAGCTGTCTCTCTCCGTCCTTTCAGAGTGGGGGATTTCCCCCAGATGGGACTGGGGAGAGGGTGCTGAGCTTCCCCCACTCCCACTCAGCCAGTGGCAGCCTCCTGACTCTCCAGCTGGTCTGTGTTTTGAGAGACTGTCCTCAGCCTTTAGCTGCTGGTGGGCAGCTTTTATCCCTTCCTTGCTAGAATCCAGCCTGGTGCTACTCGGGGCCTCCCAGTGAATGACACTTTGCCTTGGAGAGGATATCCGGGGCAGGGGCAGTCAGACAGGGAAGGGAGTTTATCCTGCAGAGGGTGTGGTGTGGGTTGGAGAGTGGAAGGCACTGTGTACAAGGCTTGAGATGCCCAGTATGGAGGTCTGGGGAGGATGCCCACCAGCTCTCCAATTGGCTGTCTAATAAAATGGGAAGAAAAAGGGTGCTGTGGCCTCTTTTGCTTCTGGTCTGCCCTAGCACCTTCCTTCCTGGCCCAGGTAGTTTGCTTTTTTAATTGCACACATCTGCCTCTAGAGCTGGTGAGTCCTCACAGGGTCAGAGTTGCAGCCTGGGAGTATAGTGACATTTGATTGATGATCAGTAAACATTTGGTGAATGTTTCCAAATGTGGTGGCAAGAGGCTTTCAGTTGAGTTGCCCTACTGGACATACACAAACTTTGCAGATAGTTACTAGCCAGTTGTTTTTCCATGTATGTGAATTGATCAGCAGGTGAGAGGAAAAAGGGGCATAATTTTCATTCACTGTGGACCTCCTGGTGGGGAAAGCAAATTGGGAAGGCTTTTCTAGTAGGTTGCTAAAGTTTGAGATATTTATGTAAGCCCAGCTTATGGTGAAAAGTTGGCTTGCCAGAGGACTACGAAGAGGCATGCAATAAACATTTTGAGATCCTAAGAGGTGCTAGTGAGACTAAAGAGACCTTTCCTTCAAGTCTGCCATTTGCTATTACTCAGGAATATTGGCAAATGTCAAAAGAGATGCAAAAATGAAGTTAGTGTTAAGTTAAGTCAGCCTTTCCTTAACATAAGATATCTGTGCCAGGAACAAAGCTAAATACTTCACAGGCATTATCATGGACACTTTACAAAGTAGGTACGAATGTTCTTCATTTTACAGATGAAGAAACTGAGGCTCGCACTGGGATCGCAGCTGGTTATTTGTGGAATTGCCATTCAAACATAGGCTGACTGCGTCTAGAATCCATGCTCGAATCACTACTACCTTTTCATTTTTTCTTGCTTTTCTACATTTCCTTTTCCCAGATCAGTTCACTAAGGAAATATCTGCTGTCTGTGAAACATATCAGCTTTACAAGGTGCTTTACAGTGGGTTATAAACTGTTTAAGGAACACAGGCCTTTGCCAGTTTTTTTTTTTTTTTTTGCGGTTTTGGCTGGGGCTGGGTTAGAACCCACTACCTCTGGTATATGGGGCTGGCACCCTACTTCTTGAGCCACAGGCACCGCCTGCCTTTGCCAGTTTTAAGGTAGACAGATCAGGCTTAGAACTCACGATGTCTAGGTTTTTGCTCTGCTGAGTGGCCAGGGAAGAGGAGCGGGGACCCTGGAAGTTAGGTCCCAGACCCCAGTGCATACACTTTCACTAGATCTGTTACATGTTTGAGTGTCTGGGCCAGGTTGCAGGAAAGAAAAGAAGCCTGGAAAAGAGCCTGCTAGAGAGGGGGTGGGGAGAGGGAGAGAGAGAGAAAATAAAGCTGGGATGGGTGGAGGGGGGTTGCGGGTGGAAGAGAGAGAGGGGTCCTGTCAGAAGCCACCTGGCCTGCTGTTTCCAGTTGTCAGGAATTTATATGGTGATGACGTGTCTGTACTAGTGTCTGTACTACGCAGCTCCCCAGGAATTTGTCTGACGCCAGCATTGAGTAATTCCCATGTATGGTAAAGTGTGTAAATACAGAGGCAGTTAACATTTCCAGACTCTGCCGTTTCCAGTGCCTCCCAAAGGCCAGGAGGCAGAGTCTGGGTTCTCAATGGTGACAACAGAGGAAGGAATGGAAGGTTAACAGCTTGAGCACAGGCTTAGCCCCAGCCAGGCAGCCAGACCCTAGCCCCCATCCCAGTCTGCTTGGCATGCTTTATGCAGGGGTGGTGTGGGTTGGAGCTTCCTGAGATGTTAGGCAACCTGTGTTTATATAACCTAAGTGCTAATTTCTTTTCACTTTAAAAATTAATCAAAGAAAAATTATTCTGACATTTTTGTTCAGCATGGGATAACCAACTGTTACCATTCTAAGTTGACATCATTCCAGATAAAAGCAAGTAAATTCTGTCAATTAGCTCTGAGACCTTATTATAATATAGGATTTCCCTTAATAGTTTGGAAATAATTAAAATAACTCAAAGACCCCTATTCCTACCTTTTTCTTTGTTGACCTCTGGACTTCTGAGCTGCAAGGGTAAAGAGCATAGAATGCATCTGAGATGAGTGGTAAAAAGGAGAGACAGAGCACTGCCCAGGTCAGCTCACAGTCCCACAGGGGCCATGGGCATGGATTTGGAAAGAGAAAACTCATACGATGGAGAGAGGGGGGCCTGAGCTAGAATGACAGTCATGTTCCAGGGTTTTGTGGGGCCTGGAGTGATCACAGCTCAGTGATGCTGGTTAACTTCTCAGGGTGAGTCACAAGCTGGGATCTGAAGAAACCATGTGGTGGGATGTATAAAGCTGGGGCCAGGTCTGCCCCATCTTCCTGGCAGCCATTTCTACCTCACCACTGGCCCTGACCTTCAGGGAAGTATATGTCTTGGGTTCTCAGTTGTCACTTCCAGAACATGACCTCTGAGTCCTGACTAGCAAGGACTCCCTCTGTCCCTCTCTGTTCTTGGCTGCTCTCAGGACATGAGGGTGTAGAGAAGAGGCTGAGCAGAGGTTGGAAGGATGGCAGCACTCCCGTGTACCCAGCAGATGCCAGATAGTTCAGGTAATGTGAGTAGTGCCTTTGTAACTAGATAAACAGACAGGTCTCTACCAGACCAAGTAGGTGGGGACTTAAGTCCTGGGCCTGTCAATCACTCTTTGGCCCTAGGGAACTAGTGATTTTGTAATTGGAAAAAGAGGGTTTTTCCACTGGAGAGATAAAGATGTTAGGTAGGTGGCTTGTCAAGGATTTGGAAAAAGGGATCTCTCCTTTAGGCACTGGTGGCTGGCACTTGAGAGTTCTATATCCCTGAGATAGTTCCTTAAACTTGAAACATGACCACATGGAACCTGTCACCTCACCCCAACATTCACAAGATTTGGGGTGACTGTGTGAGTCTATACCCTGTGTCTACTCCTTTCTCTGCTGTTGTAAGAGCCACCATCCTGGGTCTGTCTTCTCCAGATTGAGGATCTGGGCATAGCTCCTAATGGGACAACCAGGCGGGAAGGTGTGGGCAGCAGACTCAGGCTTCTGGCTTCCCTCCATCTCTGAGGATCCTGACATTTCAGGTAAACAACTGACCAGCTGTTTCCACCAGTCAACAGAAAATTGAAGCTCTATTCTTTGTTGAAATTATCAACGCAGTGAAGCAGGACATACCAGAACACAGACAGCATTGCCCACTGAGAACATAACTCTGAAGAGAACCCACTGTAAATCCAACAGGTGGATAAAGTGGTTCCAGAAGATAGTAATGATTCTTGATTGCTCAGAGCAATATCAGAAAGCTTGAGATGAAGACAGAGGTCCCTGCCTGTGGTCTCATGTAGCCAGAGGGAACTAAGCTCCAAAGAAGGGCAAGTAACTTGTCCCAGACTTATTAGCTGGGCTGAAATTCCTGGTCCTTATTTGG